CTCAAAGATGGGGGTGCGAGGGTCACCACGAGAGGCTCCTACAGCTACTATGCTCTTCTCTGCTGCTAGGAGGGACTTCTCGAGGAGGTCAACGGTGAGAGTGGTGGGGCAAACTGAGAGGAAGTGGTCCCTGACTACGCGAAGGGAGTCAGGGAGCCGGGTGACTATGTAGTAGAGGGTGATGTACATGGGGGGGGGGGTTCTTGGCGCAGAACTCAGCAGGAAGCGCAGCGCGGTAGCGAGTGTCACTAGTGCGTAGGTGCGTAATGAGGTCAGCGACTGTGGGAAAGGCAGCAAGGTCAGGGAAGAGGTACGGTAGCATGAGGCGACTCAGTGCAGCAGTGGCAGGGGAGGAGTAGCGTGCAACTACAGCGTCGTACAAGGTCTGAGCACTCTTGTACTGGCTAAAGTGCGCACGCTCAGAGGTAGGCAGGTGGCGACGCACAGCAAGACGTGCAGCAGCATCGCGCGTGGCCCACTGGGAGCGAACAGTTGCGTCAGCATCAGTGGCGGGGGCAGGAGAGGCACCAGAAGTGAGGTCAAAGAGGGAGAGGCCGTCTGCCCTATCGCACTGTAAGAAAAGCTGCAGGTCATCTATCCAGACGTCAAAGTCAATGGCCCGACCCTCAGCGTCAAAAGCGAGGACACTAGGGGTAGCCATGACAGCAGTAGACTAGCAGCGCAAACAGTGGGGTGAGGGCAGTGCTGTGAGAGAGGCGCTGCTCTTACCGGACAGGGCGGCTCGGGTGGCTCGGCTGCAGGGCGGCTCGGCGACTCGGCTGCTGGGCGGCTCGGCTGCTGGGCGGCTCGGCGGCTGGGCGGCTCAGCGGCTCGGCTGCTGGGCGGCTCGGCGGCTCTGCTGCTGGGCGGCTCGGCTGCTGGGCGGCTCGGCGGCTCGGCTGCTGGGCGGCTCGGTGGCTCAGCTGCTGGGCGGCTAGGCTGCTGGGCGGCTCGGCGGGGCCGCTGAGAGGGCGGCGTCAGGGGCCGCTGGGAGGAGGCGGCGGGGCCGCTGAGAGGTAGGTGGCGGGGCCGCGTCAGGGGCCGCGACAGGGGCCGCGTCAGGGGCCGCGTCAGGGGCCGCGGCAGGGGCCGCGTCAGGGGCCGCGGCAGGGCCGCGTCAGGGCGCCGCGTCAGGGGCCGCGTCAGGGCGCCGCCAGGGGCCGCGGCAGGGGCCGCGTCAGGGCCGCGTCAGGGCCGCGGCAGAGCCGCGTCAGGGCCGCGTCAGGGGCCGCTTCAGGGCCGCGGCAGGGCGCCGCCAGGGGCCGCGGCAGGGCCGCGTCAGGGCCGCGTCAGGGCCGCGGCAGAGCCGTGTCAGGGCCGCGTCAGGGGCCGCTTCAGGGCCGCGGCAGGGGCCGCGGCAGGCCGCGTCAGGGCCGCGTCAGGGGCCACGGCAGGGCCGCGTCAGGGCGCCGCCAGGGGCCGCGTCAGGCCGCGTCAGGGCGCCACTAGGGGGCGCGTCAGGGGCCGCAATGTGCGCGGGCAGCTAAAAAAAAAAAATTTCTTATGGTGGGCCCTTAGGAAGGAACGGTCCCATGTAGGAACCCGCTCTATACCATGTGAATCAAGAAAACAGGAATGAGATGACTAAGTGAAAGTTGGGTACAAAAGGCAAACCCTAGGCAACTGTACCCCATATGTGCTACCCCACTATAGCCTACAGTAGCTATGTCATATAACTCTGACAATGGGAGCAGCAGTTGCCGCTGATCGAGTTCGCATACAACAACGCCACGTCGGCGACGACGCAACAGTCCCCGTTCTACCTGAACTACGGGCAAAATCCAACAGTGCACATGACGCCGAGTCTGGACAACCCAACGCCACGCGCACAGCAATTCGCCGAGATTCTGCAAGCTGCCCGCACCAGAGCCGCAGAAGCAATTAAAAAAGCCAACGTCGCCGCAAAACGAAACGCTGACCGCCACCGCCACCCTGTCACGTACCAGCCAGAGGATTGCGTACTACTCGACACACTGAACTTAAGACTGCCCGTCATACCGAAACTTCGATCGCGATAATGTGGACCATTCCAAATCAGCCACATGAGCACCCCAGTCACCGCCCATTTACTGTTGCCGACGGACTGGTACATCAGCCCACCATTCCACATCACCCTGCTTCGCCCTTACATCCCAACCACGAGCCAACTGCCTCATCACCGTCCGCCATCCATGACTTGCCTTGTATCGGAGCCGATCATTGAGCCCGACAAGATTCTGAGCCATCGGATTCGACATCCCACAGGCATCAAGAGGATAGAGTTCCTTGTTTGCTGGAAGGACCGCACGCCAACTGAAGATAGCTGGGTGCTCCTGGCCAATATTGAAAACCACCCTGCCTTACAAGTGTACCCGAGGAGCCGGGGTTTCCGCGATATACACACACTCGCGTAGCGCAGGGGGCTTCTTGAGGGGAGGGGGGGATATTGTAAGGTTTTTTCTCGACATTCCTTACCGCGACCATCAACATCGCGTACAGCAGCAGCCGTTGTTCGCCCGTTACTGCTAACGGGGCTTTGCCAACTTCGCACGCACTGTTTCACCAAACCTTGCACTGCTGGCCCAGCTGAGTTGGCCTACGCTTTGGGACTAGCCTGAACCTCCATGCCAGTGTAGCAATAGGTAGCTCGCACGCACCGCGTAACCGTTGCATGTTTTCGCACATAAGTATTCGCTCATGCCTTCGCTCATACTTTGTACTTTTAATCCACATAGTGTAATCCTCGATAACTCGTTCCATTGCACCCGTAACAACACATAACAATCGACCTCATATTTGAATTCGTGGTCTGACACGAGTATTTGACCTCGTAAACGAGGCATGGTTATGGCGGCTCGGGTCGTGACATCCACATCCATAGGATCTTGAGGAAGAGATATGATTGGTGGTAACAAGCGAAACCCATCCACTCATGCCGATCGGTAATGAATCGGCCCGGCCAGGGCCGTCAGATCATCCGACATCACAGTGTAACAAGTCTTCCACACTCACATATGTCGCACACGGTGGCTTCTGTGCGCGAACGGGCCGTCTTCTCGCTAAACTCTCAAGTGTTGTCAGTGACTCATGCATATTTCCGCCATTCCCCGCCTTCAGCACATGTGGTCGGCGGACTTTCCGCAATCCCAGCCATCCAGCACAGCTCGCCAGCGAACTCTGCAACGGCTTCCGCCTCGGGCTTGCCGCGGCGGGATACACGTAATTCCTTTCCCCCCTCAGCTTGGGTTAGCACTTCCCATGGCGACTCGACTTGCTGCTCCTTGCAGCTCCATCGCTTCCCTTTCTCCTTTCTCTGACCGTCACTCCACCTAACCTCGCCCCACTCTATCTCACCTTTTCTAAACGTGTGATAACGCTCTCAACCGTGTTTTAACTTTCTGATTACCGCATCACCGTACCGAACTTCGTTTTCCTTGGCCGATTTCTCTCGTCCCTAGTCCACCTCCAGTCAATCCTCTCAGGCAATTGCGATGCAGGCAGTCTCAGAGAGGAATCTCCTTCCGTTAGCTAACTCGGTTGATCCGAATCCATGGCTTCCTCGGTTTGCTGCACTGTGGAGGTAACTTTCGTAGCGTGGAATCTTACCGAAGCGCGTACAACCTAAGATTAATCAAGAGGATAGTAGTAGAAGTTTTGGAGCCTAGTAGAAAGCTTAGTATCACAATCAGTTGCAACTGAATGACCGTCAGGTGCAAAACGGCGGATTCTTTCATGTTTACGTCAAGCGTGATTCACCTCGTTTGTCACGTCAGATCCAAGTGCTTATGAGGTTCTCTCCTTAATACAGCGAGTTAATCAAACCGTCTTCGGTGTCATGCTTGCGAGTCGCGACGTAGAGCTCTCAACCACTTAGCGCGACAAACTTAACAACGTGAAGCGACGACAATATTTTTGCGCACACGACATGGTGCGACCCGAAGCGACATTATGCGACCGACGCGACATCATGATGATGCTACAATGTTCCTGAAGGTCACGAATCCTTACCTTGGCAACTACAACAACTACCGCTACCGACGAAGCGCACGACGTTACTACGACTCGTAGCACCAATTGTTCTCGCAGCAGCATCCAAGGCCACAAAAGTAACTTCTACTACCGACGACACTTGCGACGTTACTAACGCTGACGACGACGGTAGAGCTTGAGAAGACACGAAGACGTTCGACGTCTGATGTAGGATTGCGCGACGGAAGACGTCGCATGGAGGATCTCGCGACGGAAGAGCTCGCGACGGAAGAGCTCGCTAATTAGTGGATGGGAGGAGCGACGTGCGACGGAGGAGCGGCTCACCGACTCCTGGGGCCGAAGGATAACGCCTACGATCGCGGTCTATGAATTGGTGAGTTTAGCGTTTTCCGTTTCAACTAGTTCAAGTTTTTTGTTTCTGCAGTTGTTCTCGTGACGATTGTGACTGGTCTACTCGTTTCGTATCATGGCGTATCTCACTCTTCAAGGCGGCAGTCGCGCTCCTTCAATCTAGTCGCTCATGCAATTTCTTTCGCAGACAATTTGCAGTTTCTTTCGGTCCTAGTCTCTTCAATTCGTACTTTCTCCGTGCGTGCAGGAGTGGCAGAGGCTGCACCAGGGAAAGCATTGCGGAAAAGGGAGGCATCTTGGGAGAGGCACGGATGCATCAGCGGAGAGGCGCGGATGCATCAGGGGAGAGACGCGGATGCATCAGGGGAGAGGCGCGGATGCATCAGGGGAGAGGCGCGGATGCATCAGGGGAGAGGCGCGAATGCATCAGGGGAGAGGCGCGGATGCATCAGGGGAGAGCCGCGGATGCATCAGGGGAGAGGCGCGGGCGAGAGAAGATGGCGGAGCATCATGGTCTTGGAGGGTGCAGCACGAACGCCAATCAACAACCGGCTAAGCTCCCTCTCCTTGACCCCTTTTCCATGCTCGGTCCTCACCCCATCATTGCATCCTCTCTGCCTATCCTCCTCCTCCTCCTCCTCCTCCTCCTCCTCCTCCTCCTCCTCCTCCTCCTCCTCCTCCTACTCCTCCTCCTCCTCCTCCTCCTCCTCCTCCTCCTCTCCTCCTCCTCCTCCTCCTCCTCCTCCTCCTCCTCCTCCTCCTCCTCCTCCTCCTCCTCTTCCTCCTCCTCCTCCTCCTCCTCCTCCTCCTCCTCCTCCTCCTCCTCCTCCTCCTCCTCCTCCTCCTACTCCTCCTCCTCCTCCTCCTCCTCCTCCTCTCCTCCTCCTCCTCCTCCTCCTCCTCCTCCTCCTCCTCCTCCTCCTCCTCCTCCTCTTCCTCCTCCTCCTCCTCCTCCTCCTCCTCCTCCTCCTCCTCCTCCTCCTCCTCCTCTCCTCCTCCGCCTCCTCCTCCTCCTCCATCGTTGCTGGTTAAGGCGAACCCCACGGGTGACAGACCATCCCCACTGCCGGTATTCTCCCCAAAACTGCGACTGCGGTATTCCCCCCTCCCTGGTTATCCCTTTGGTACTTCGGGGTAAATGCCCCCAGCGTAAGTGCATGCATCCGGTTGACCCTTCGGTACATCGGGGTAAATGGCCCAGCGTAAGTTCATCCGGCCTTTGCCCCTCGCTGCAACGATGAAGACCAAGTGTAAGAGTTAAAACACCTGCGTCTGTGGCTTGTGGGAGTAGCCTTGCCAGTAACAGCCCCCCCCCTCCTCCTCCTCCTCCTCCTCCTCCTCCTCCTCCTCCTCCTCCTCCTCCTCCTCCTCCTCCTCCTCCTCCTCCTCCCCAACCTCCTCCTCCTTTTCGCATATCATTCGCCTTCTGTTCATCTGCTCTCCTTGCATTGTGTCATCTGTTGTCTCTCTGTCTCCTCTACCAGTTACTAGACTTCACTGTGAGCGTGCACCGTGCGGTTCCTTGTGCAGGCACGGGGAGGTGTCGCTGGGGAAACGGAGCAGCAGCGACAGGAGCAGCAGTGACAGAAACAGCATGTAAGTAGCTGGAGCCATGGCAAACACCCCCGCCCTTTCCTCCACGCATTCGTTAGTTTCCACTCTTTCAATCTACTCTTTCCGGTCGCTGGTCACTGAGTATCTTCCTCTGGTAGCTGTGCAAGGAACATTAAGGTGTGCGAAGTCGGAGAAGCAGCGGCAGGAGCAGCATTGGCAGCGGCAGCAGTGGCAGCAGGAGGAGAGCAGCAGACAGGAGCAGTGGCAGCAGGAGGAGAAACAAGTACGTAAGCGGAGCACTCCCATTGTTTCCTCCTTGCAAGCGTTATATTTCACAGTTAGTTTACTCCGTTGACTCGTAGCCTCTCCTCTGTTGACTCGTAGCCTCTCCTCTGTTGACTCGTAGCCTCTCCTCTGTTGACTCGTAGCCTCTCCTCTGTTGACTCGTAGCCTCTCTGTTGACTCGTAGCCTCTCCTCTGTTGACTCGTAGCCTCTCCTCTGTTGACTCGTAGCCTCTCCTCTGTTGACTCGTAGCCTCTCCTCTGTTGACTCGTACCCTCTCCTCTGTTGACTCGTAGCCTCTCCTCTGTTGACTCGTAGCCTCTCCTCTGTTGACTCGTAGCCTCTCTGTTGACTCGTAGCCTCTCCTCTGTTGACTCGTAGCCTCTCCTCTGTTGACTCGTAGCCTCTCCTCTGTTGACTCGTAGCCTCTCCTCTGTTGACTCGTAGCCTCTCCTCTGTTGACTCGTAGCCTCTCCTCTGTTGACTCGTACCCTCTCCTCTGTTGACTCGTAGCCTCTCCTCTGTTGACTCGTAGCCTCTCCTCTTTTGACTCGTAGCCTCTTGTCTGACTAACCTTCCGTGTGGGATTGTTGCAACTCTCTGGTCGCTTTGCCTCTTGGCAGGGAACGTTAATGCGACCAGCAGCGTGCGTGGAGCACGGAGCAGCAGCGATCAGAGCAGCAGTGGCAGCAGTAGCACTGTCATCCTTCCAGTAGCAGCAGCTGTGGTGACAGGAGGAGAGCTGCAGTGGCAGCAGCAGCACTCACATCCTTCCAGCAGCAGCTGTGGAACAAACGGCAGCACTAGAAGGGAAGAGTGAAAGACCTGCTGAACCCTCCCATCTCCCGGCGGTTCCCGCCAACGGCGAGGAGAGAAGGCTTCCAGCAAGCTGTATGGAGGCCTTATGGAGGAGAGAAGGCGCCAAGCCGTTACTACTTGATGCTGCTCCCGCCAACGCTGAAGTCAGGTGAAGCAGCGACGAGAGGAGACAGCTGGACTGGCATCAGCGGTGGCAGCAGCAGTGGGAGCAGAAGAGAGGCCCGCAATGACACTACCTGTGGTAGCTGAGAAAACCAACAGTGACAGCAGCGGTGGCAGCAGCAGTGGCAGGAGGAGAGAGGCCCGCAATGACACTACCTGTGGTAGTAGCTGAGAAAACCAACAGTGACAGCAGCGGTGGCAGCAGCAGTGGCAGGAGAAGAGAGGCCCGCAATGACACCAGAAGAGAGAACCAATGATGACACCAGCGGTGGCAGCAGCAGCAGCAGTGGCAGCAGCAGCAGTGGAGGGAGACGGCTGGGACCTGCTGGGAGGAGCATAAATAGGATGTGAGGAGAGCGAGAGTGAGAGGCGAGCTGAGTGTTGAGAACTGCAGCAGGCTGCAGGGTGAGGGTGAGGGGAGGAGCGAGTGAGAGTTAGATTGAGAGTGATAGTGGGGTGTGAGGACCTCGTTTGCTGGTTTGAGGCGCCTCAAATCCAGTTGTGAGCTGCCGGTGGCAGTTCTGTTGTGTCCTGCAGTGCACTGCAGTGTTCCGTTCCTCCTCTCTTCTCTTTTCTGAGTTTTGAGATGCATCTCAAAACTCACCCTCCTCTCTTGTGAGTTTCAATAAAAACTTGAAACTCACTCCCTCTCTTCTCTTTCTCCTCACTGCAGATTTGCTGCAGTGAGCAAAACGTGGGTTTTGAATGACGTCTCAAAACCCACATCCATTGTTGTTGCTGTTTCGTTTCATCCTCTCTGCGTGCAGGTGGGACAGCAGGAGGAAGGATCTTCAAGTGAGGCGCATGCTTTGCTCCCTGGGGGGCAAAGGATCAATTTTGTGCTTCCCTCTCTACTAGGTACAGCAACAGCGCGGGGGCAATGCGAAGGGCGGATCTACAGCGGAACGCAGCAGCAACACGGGACCCGCTGTAAGTTGCAGTCTGCTTTTCATTCTTTTGTTTTGTCTAATGCCTTGTGTTGCATGTTCCTGTGCGTCTTCCATTTCTGCTTGTTGTTTTCCACACATACTAATGTTGTCTTGTTTGTCTGATTTAGCAGAGTAGGAGGGACGCAGAAGGAGCGGAGGAGGAGCAGAGGAGGAGGAGAGGAGGAGCAGAGGAGGAGGAGGAGAGGAGGAGGAGGAGAGGAGGATAGGAGGAGGAGAGGAGGAGGAGAGGAGGAGAGGAGGAGAGGAGGAGGAGAGGAGGAGGAGAGGAGCAGAGGAGGAGGAGGAGGAGAGGAGGAGCAGAGCAGCAGCAGAGGAGGTGAAGAGGAGGAGGAGAGGAGGGGCAGAGGAGCAGCAGAGGAGGAGGAAAGGAGGAGGAGCGGAGGAGGAGAGGAGGAGGAGAGGAGGAGGAGAGGAGGAGCAGAGGAGGAGGAGGAGGAGAGGAGGAGAGGAGGAGGAGAGGAGGAGAGGAGGAGGAGAGGAGGAGGAGAGGAGGAGAGGAGGAGGAGAGGAGCAGGATATGAGGAGGAGATGAGGAGGAGAGGAGGAGAGGATGAGGAGAGGAGGAGGAGAGGAGGAGCAGAGGAGGAGGAGGAGAGGAGGAGGAGAGGAGGAGGAGAGGAGGAGAGGAGGAGGAGAGGAGGAAGAGAGGAGGAGAGGAGGAGGAGAGGAGCAGGATATGAGGAGGAGATGAGGAGGAGAGGAGGAGAGGATGAGGAGAGGAGGAGGAGAGGAGGAGAGGAGGAGGAGAGGAGGAGAGGAGGAGGAGCGGAGGAGGGGAGGAGGAGAGGAGGATGATTGGAGGAAGAGCGGAGGAGGAGAGGAGGGGAGGAGGAGGAGAGGAGTAGGAGAGGAGGAGGAGCGGAGGAGGAGAGGAGGAGGAGCGGAGGAGGAGAGGAGGGGAGGAGGAGGGGAGGAGGAGGAGAGGAGGAGGAGCGGAGGAGGAGAGGAGGAGGAGCGGAGGAGGAGAGGAGGAGGAGGAGAGGAGGATAGGAGGAGGAGAGGAGGAGGAGAGGAGGAGGAGAGGAGGAGGAGAGGAGCAGAGGAGGAGGAGGAGAGGAGCAGAGGAGGAGGAGGAGAGGAGGAGCAGAGCAGCAGCAGAGGAGGTGAAGAGGAGGAGGAGAGGAGGGGCAGAGGAGCAGCAGAGGAGGAGGAGAGGAGGAGGAGCGGAGGAGGAGAGGAGGAGGAGAGGAGGAGAGGAGGAGCAGAGGAGGAGGAGGAGGGGAGGAGAGGAGGAGAGGAGCAGGATATGAGGAGGAGATGAGGAGAAGAGGAGGAGGAGAGGATGAGGAGAGGAGGAAGAGCGGAGGAGGAGGAGGAGAAGAGGAGGAGAAGAGGAGGAGAGGAGGAGGAGCGGAGGTGGAGAGGAGGAGAGGAGGAGGAGAGGAGGAGGAGAGGAGGAGAGGAGGAGGAGAGGAGGAGAGGAGGAGGAGCGGAGGAGGGGACGAGGAGAGGAGGATGATTGGAGGAAGAGCGGAGGAGGAGAGGAGGGGAGGAGGAGGGGAGGAGGAGGAGAGGAGGAGGAGCGGAGGAGGAGAGGAGGAGGAGCGGAGGAGGAGAGGAGGGGAGGAGGAGGGGAGGAGGAGGAGAGGAGGAGGAGCGGAGGAGGAGAGGAGGAGCGGAGGAGGAGAGGAGGAGGAGGAGAGGAGGATAGGAGGAGGAGAGGAGGAGGAGAGGAGGAGAGGAGGAGGAGAGGAGGAGGAGAGGAGCAGAGGAGGAGGAGGAGAGGAGCAGAGGAGGAGGAGGAGAGGAGGAGCAGAGCAGCAGCAGAGGAGGTGAAGAGGAGGAGGAGAGGAGGGGCAGAGGAGCAGCAGAGGAGGAGGAGAGGAGGAGGAGCGGAGGAGGAGAGGAGGAGGAGAGGAGGAGAGGAGGAGAGGAGGAGCAGAGGAGGAGGAGGAGAGGAGGAGGAGAGGAGGAGGAGAGGAGGAGAGGAGGAGGAGAGGAGGAGGAGGGGAGGAGAGGAGGAGGAGAGGAGCAGGATATGAGGAGGAGATGAGGAGGAGAGGAGGAGGAGAGGATGAGGAGAGGAGGAAGAGCGGAGGAGGAGGAGGAGAAGAGGAGGAGAGGAGGAGGAGCGGAGGTGGAGAGGAGGAGAGGAGGAGGAGAGGAGGAGGAGAGGAGGAGGAGAGGAGGAGGAGAGGAGGAGTGGAGGAGGAGAGGAGGAGAGGAGGAGGAGCGGAGGAGGAGAGGAGGGGAGGAGGAGGGGAGGAGGAGGAGAGGAGGAGGAGCGGAGGAGAGGAGGAGGAGCGGAGGAGGAGAGGAGGGGAGGAGGAGGGGAGGAGGAGAAGAGGAGGAGGAGTGGAGGAGGAGAGGAGGAGGAGCGGAGGAGGAGACAGAGGACTAGGCATGAATGCTCAAGTCCCCCTCGGTGAGTCTCCTTCCATTTCTGCGTGTTGTTTTCCCACTCGTACTAATTTTATTTGTGTGTTGCTTGCTGTTTCAGACAGGGGACCAAGGCACGAAGGCTCGAAAACCCCTCGGTGAGTCTCCTTCCATTTTCTGCTTTCTGTTTTCCACACTTACTGATGTTGCTTTGTTTGTCCGATTTAGCAGAGCAGGAGGAGCGCAGGAGCAGAGGAGCGGAGGAGCGGAGGAGGAGAGGAGGAGCGGAGAAGAAGCAGAGGAGGAGGAGAGCAGGAGGAGAGGGGGAGCAGAGGAACAGGGGAGGGAGGACGCTAAGGAGGATTCTCTGCCATTGCCAATGCCAGTGAGTATCCATTTCCTGCTCTCGAATTCTTGTTCTTTTGGATGGGTGGTCGGTGCCTTGTTTGGTTGGCATCGATTTTGAATCGCTTCTTGGCACTGGGTGCAATCGCTGGGTGCTCATAGGCTTTTTCTTCCTTCCCATTCCGCAGGAAATGCATCAGAAGGGACGAGCAGCAGAGGAGAAGCGGAGGCGAGGAGCAGCAGAGGAGGCAAAGGAGTGAAAGAGAATCCTCCTGCCACTGCCAGTGAGCATCTCATCTCCTTTGCTGCTCTCAGTTGATGGTCATTGCAGGCATTCGCTTTGCATTCATTCTGAATCACTTGATGGCACAGTTTTGTGGCGAGATGCAGGCCACGTTGGTGCAATTGGTGCAATGAGCAGCAGTGAAGCGAACCAGTGCAATGAACTTTTGGCCTTTCTCCTTCTGTTCCGCAGGAAATGAGATGGAGCAGAGGAGATGGCACAGACGGGATGGGAGTAGCTGTGGAGCGAAGCAGTAATGAGCGAAGGAGCAGAGGAGGAAGGAGCGAAGGTGCTGCAGAACAGAGGAGCAGGTAGCAAGGAGCGAAGGAGTGAAGGAGAAGAGGAGGCGAAGGAGCGAGGAGCAGAGGAGAAGGAGCGAAGATTCCTGATTTTGCCATTGCCAGTGAGTGAGTGTCTTCTTTCCTGATTTTGATTTGTTGTTCTCTTGAATCAATTTTCCTGTTGTTCATATGTTCATTTGTCCTTTCATTTGTTCCTTGATTTGTTCGTTCAGATAGATGGTCGTGTCTGCCTTGCATTTTCCTGAGCCTTGTCAATGGGTTCTACTGGTGCAAAGGGCTCACACGTCCTGAGGCTGTCTCTTCTTATTCTCAGGACTTTGCTGACCTGAGGAGGTGGAGCAGCAGAGGAGATGAGGAGCAGAGGAGCGCCCTCTTCCCATTCCGCCCTGAGCTGAGGAGCAGGATGGTGGATAAACCTTCCCTACCAAGGGTGGTTATCCTCTTTCTTACCTTAGCTGTTTTATTCAATTGATGCCTGATTCGTTTCGCAACTACTTTGAGTTATTTGTCTGCATTGGGTGCAGTCGGTGCCATGCTCTCATGGGCCCTGATCTATTCCCCTCCCATCACAGACGGCCGGTCGAGGCAGAGCAGCAGAGGAGAAGGAGCAGCAGAGGAGAAGAAGCAGCAGAGGAGACAAAGGAGCGACGGACCAGAGGAGCAAAGTAGTGAAGGAGCGGAGGAACGAAGGAGCGGAGGAGCAAAGGAGTGGAGGAGGGAAGGAGCAAGGATCGAAGAAGCAGAGGAGCGATAGAGCACAGTGGTGGATGCATCTTCACTGCACCGCCAACGGTAATCCTCTTTCTTCCTGTTTTGTTTGTTTGATTCTTAATTCGATTTGCATCTGCTTCAAGTTAGTGCTAGGCATTGGGTGCAATCGATGCCATGCTCTCATCGGCCCTGATCCATTCGCCTCCCATCGCAGATGGTCGGTTGAGGCAGAGCAGCAGAGGAGAAGGAGCAGCAGAGGAGAAGGAGCAGAGGAGAAGCAGACGGAGTATAGGCGTAATGCAGATGGAGCAGAGGCGCAAAGCAGATGGAGCAGAGTCACAAAGCAGGTGGAGCAGAGGCGCAAAGCAGGTGGAGCAGAGGCGCAAAGCAGGTGGATCAGAGGCGCAAAGCAGATGGAGCAGAGGCGCAAAGCAGATGGAGCAGAGGCGCAAAGCAGATGGAGCAGAGGCGCAAAGCAGATGGAGCAGAGGTGCAAAGCAGATGGAGCAGAGGCGCAAAGCAGATGGAGCAGAGGCGCAAAGCAGATGGAGCAGAGGCACAAAGGAGATGGATCGGAGGCGGAAATGACCTATCAGTGCTCCTACCTCTCTCCTCAATCATGCAGACGGCAGCTGCTACCACGCTGAGGGCTGCAGAGTGAAGGGGGGAGCAGAATGAGGGAGGAGCGGAGTGTTGAGTGCTGCAGCAGGGGAGCAGAGGAGACGGCCTATCAGCGCTCCTACCACTCTCCTCACTCACGGACACGGCAGCTGCTACCACGCTCGCTCCTACCTCCCTCAAGTGTGCTTCTTCTGGTGCTGTGAAGTTACAGGAGGACAGGTGAAGAAGAGCGGAGGAGCAAAGGAGATGGGCAGCAACAAAAGGAGAAGCAGCTGCAGAAGAGAAATCCAGCAGTGACAGCAGCGGGGGCAGCAGCAGCAGGAGCAGAAGAAGAGCCCGGAGTGGCACCAGTGGTGATGGGACCGCAGCTACTACCTCAGTCTCTCCTACCTCAGTCGCTCCTACCTCAGTCGCTCCTACCTCAGTCGCTCCTACCTCAGTCGCTCCTACCTCAGTCGCTCCTACCTCAGTCGCTCCTACCTCAGTCGCTCCTACCTCAGTCGCTCCTACCTCAGTCGCTGCGTTGGTGCTGTGAAGTGAAGTGATGGGACGGAAGAGGAGATGGCTCATGCAGGGGGAGCAGAGTGCTGAGAGTGGGGCGAGCGAAACTGAGCTTGGGATAGTAGAGTGGGGGGGGAAGCAGAGTGAAGGGGGGAGTAGAGTGAGAGGCGAGCGGAGTGTGGAGATCTGCAGCAGGCTGCAGAGTGAGGGTGAGGGGAGGAGCGAGTGTGAGTGTGAGTGAGAGTGAGGTGTAAGGTGTGAGGACCTCGTTTGCTGGTTTGAGGCGCCTCAAATCCAGTTGTGAGCTGCCGGTGGCAGTTCTGTTGTGTCCTGCAGTGCACTGCAGTGTTCCGTTCCTCCTCTCTTCTCTTCTCTGAGTTTTGAGATGCATCTCAAAACTCACTCTCTTCACTTGTGAGTTTCAAGAGACGCCTTGAAACTCACTCTCTCTCTCTCTCTTCCTCCTCACTGCAGATTTGCTGCAGTGAGCAAAATCAGGGTTTTGGGAGACGTCTTAAAACCCTTTTGCATGTTCCTCACTGCAGGTCTTGCAGTGAGCAAAATTGCACAGCTGGTCCTGAAGCAAGACTAGGCAGAACCGGGGCAGCAAGGACGGACAGCAGTGGATTTGAGGATAATTTTCACCTGCCCTTGGGCAGTTTCCTCTGTGTTCTGTCTCCCCCCCCCAACAGGGTCCCAAGCAATGATTCCCACCTCACCGCGGTGCTTGGGTGTAACGTTGAGAGCTTACTCCTGGCGGCCAAGAGGAACCCCCATGCGTTCAGTACATGGGCAGTACATAAGTACAATTTATCAATTATTATTTCGGATTATACTAAATGGATAATTTGCATAACACTATGAATAAATCTTGCCTTTGTTCAGACAGTTATAAACAATTGATGCTATGGACTAGCATATTCTTTAGGCTTTATAGACATTTAATGGGCGAGATGACGTGCACTTGCTACTGTGGCAGAGAACTACATATACAGAACCACACAAACAGACCGCACAGACACATCCACTAACAAAACCACACAGTTAGCTGAAGTGACCGTTGCCAAGGCAGTGCGTTTTGTCAGAATCTATGTGCAGGAATGAATGAACTATGAATGAGTTGGGTACAAGTAGTAACCCTAAAGTATTGTACCCCTTGTAGGCTAACCCACTATAGCCTAGAGAGAACACAAACATATAGTTTGACACACCCCCATAGGCTAAGTGGGAGATAGCAAACACAACAGACGGTCACAAGATCAGTCAAGCAAGAGAACAAAGCAAAGCAAAGCTCGGGGTGGATCTCAAGGACACCACACAATCGGATCACAAGCAAGCGGCCACGAGGCCAGTTCACATGCAGAGTTATAATAGCAAGGCAGTACAATGATCACAGTCTAGCAAGAGTAAACAAGCAGGTGTAAAGATATATATTAGTGTACAACAAAAGCAAGTCAAGCAACCAACAGTGAGGCAGAGTGGGCACAAGCCCAAGAGCAATACAGAAATGCTGATGATCATTCGACCCAAGGGCCTTGGTGAACACATCAGCAGTGTTGGCCTGCGAGGCCACGTAGGAAAGGCGGAGCTGACAACGCTGCTGCAGCTCACGTGCAAGGAAGTAGCAAAGAGCAATGTGCTTCGTTCTGTGCTCCAGTCTCTGCTCGTGACACAAGGCAAGCATTGCCTTGTTGTCGACGTACAGAACTGGAGAACGAGGCCGCTCCCCCAAGCCGGTTAGCAAGTAGGTCAGCCAGCGTAGCTCCTGTGCAGCACTGGCCCCAGCGTAGATCTTGGCCTCACAGCTGGAACCAAGCACAGAAGAAGAACGAGTAGACCTCCACGAGACAGAACCAGAGCCAAGACTGAAGGTGTAACCCTGTGACGAACGCTGAGTCGCCTGGTCGTCGGCCCAAGAAGCGTCGGAGTGTCCTGTGAGTACCACTGAACCCTGTCCTCCAAGCACGAGCCCCATGCCCGATGTACTGCACAAGTAATGCAGTACCCTCTTCGTAGCATCCCAGTGCACCTTTCGGTATCTATCGGGAGCCACGTAGCGAGCCAGGAGGCTGAGAGGGTACGCGAGGTCAGGTCGTGTGCACGTCATCAGGTAAATGAGGCAACCCACAAGCTCTGGGTACGGACCACTCGGCTCTACGGACTCGTCCGAAGGTGGAGCTGAGAGCGAGTGGCCGGTAGACAGAGGAGTGGGCTGTGACGAGGAGAACTGGAAGTCGAAGCGCTGAAGAACCTGGTGCACCATGTGTGAATAAGTCAAGGTGATGGTGCGCCGTGCTCTGTCCCGGGTGATCTGCAAGCCAAGATAGCTACGCAACTCATCCAAGTCAGTGCAGGTGTGTCTCTCCTGCGCCTCAGTATAAGCAGTAGCAAAAACCAAGTCGTCGACGTACACGAGAACGTAGAACGGCGGCAGGGTAGTGTCGGTGCGTAGAAACAGCGACGGGTCAGCAGAGGAAGGAGAAAACTCAAGAGCTACAAGTGTAGTCCTCAGTGTGTCGTGCCACTCGCGGGGCGCCTGGCGGAGACCGTAGACTGGCCGCCGGAGGCTCCACTGGGTACCCACAGGAAATGACCTAGTGAAGCCAGGTGGACGGCGCAGCCAGATCTCCTCGTGAAGGCTGCCCTGCAAGAAAGCTGTGGAGAAGTCGAGGGAGTGCAGCTCGTAGTCACGATGTGCTGCAACGTGCAGCAGCACTCGAAGAGTAGTCATCTTCCGGGTGGGGGAGAAGGCCTGGAAGAAGTCGACCCCCTGTCGCTGACTGAAGCCTCGAGCAACGTAACGCGCCTTGAAGGCAGGCGGAGAACCCAACGGCCGCTTCACTCTGAAAATCCATATGCCATCGACTATGTTCGCCCCAGGAGGAGGAACCTCGTCGATGTAGTGCCTCTGGACTTCCAGGAAGCCATCTCTGCGTCCATGGCTATTTGCCACTAAGAGGAGTACTCACCCGCGATCGCCTCAACGTAAGAGCGTAGGGTAGGGATGTCAAGTGCATCCGGGTCTCCCTTAGGGCAAAGCAACATGGATGCAAAACGAGGTAAAGCGGCCGCAAGACACTCAAGCTCAAACTGCCTGTCCTCAAGGACGTCACTGCTAAGGGCAGGCTCACCCCCGACGGACGGAGGACAGACAGACCCAGACTCAGTAACAAGACTCGCAATGTTGTCGAGTCGACTCCTAGCTGCAAAGTCGACTAGCTCAGTGAATAGGGCAAACGCAGCAGTAGAATCAAGGTCAGGGTCAGTGACAACAGTAGCAAGGAGACGAGTGACAGTAGGACTGGCACCATGTTCAAGGTCGGACTCAGGGTCAGGAACGTGCGGAAGAGAGGACGCGGGAGGCTCAGGCAGGACAACACGCTGTGGAACAGAGGAAGGACGAAGTGCCATACCGTGAGTGCCTGGGACAGCAGGAGGACGAGGACGGGCGATACGACGAGCACAAACAGGTGTGGAAGCACGAGTCTCAGGCTCACGACGCTCAGTCAGGGACTCAGTCACCTCAACGTGCAGAGCAGGAGCAGGCAGCGAGGAGCCAGGCTGTAACTGTGGCGGAGACTGGTCTGTCGGGGAACACAGGAGAGGTGGAGTGAGGCGAGTGGAAGACGGGAGACTAAGAACCTAGCGAAGGACCGAGTCAGGCGGCAGCAGGGACGACTGCGGCTGCGGGTAGAAAAAAAGTCGGCGCGGGGCAGAACCTGCAGCTCCAGCTCCTCCAGCACCAGCAGCTCCAGCACCTCCAGTACCTCCAGCTCCAGCGCCTCCAGCACCAGCAGTACCTCCAGCACCTCCAGTACCTCCAGTACCTCCAGCTCCAGCGCCTCCAGCACCAGCTGAAACTCCAGCACCTCCAGTGCCAGCAACTCCAATAGCACCTCCAGCACCTCCAGCACCAACAGCACCACCTGCTCCGGCAGCTCAAGCACCTCTAGTACGAGCACCGCCAGGACCAGCAGCTCTTGCACCTCCAGTACCTCCAGCTCCAGTGCCTCCAGCACCGGCAGTACCTCCAGCACCTCCACTGCCAGCAGTTCCAGTAGCACCTCCAGCACGAACAACACCACCAGCTCCGGCAGCTCCAGCACCTCCAGTACCTCCAGCTCCAGCGCCTCCAGCATTAGTAGCACCTCCAGCACCTCCAGCACTAGCTGTACCTCCAGGACTAGTAGGTCTAGCACCTCCAGCACCAGTATCACCTATAGGACTAGTAGCTCCGACACCTCCAGCACCACCAGCACCACTAGTACCTCCAGCACCAGCGGCACCTCCAGCAACTCCACCAGTACCTCGAGTACCTCCAGCACCAGCAGTACCTCCAGAGTTAGCACCCCCAGTCGCAGCACCCTAAGAACCAGCACCCCCAGTCGCAGCACCCCCAGAACCAGCACCCTCTGTCTCAGCGCCCCTACGCTCAGCACCAGTAGTCTCAGCTCCAGAGTCCACAGCAGCAGGCTGCGGAGGCGGTGAAGACGACCAAGGCGGAAAACCAGGGGGGGTCTCCAAGCGAGGAGAGCGGCGAGTGGCCACCGTGTCCTTAGCGGCAGGGTCACCCCCCTCATCTGGGCCAGAGGAGTCAGAAGAGATCTCCAAAGACTCAACCAAGGGAGGTGGGTTTACCCGAGACACACTTGAGGGAGCAGGACCATGTGGGGGGAGGGGGTCTACCGGGGGGGGGACTGGTACCAAGAAAAGAGGCGCTAGGGGGACCGGGTGGGACGCGTGCGGGTGTAGCATGTAGAAACAGACAGACTCGTCAAAGGTGACGTCCTGGGAGGAGAAGACTTGACGCTCGAGCGGGTAGTAGAACTGCCACGGCGGGGCATCGGTGGGGAAGCCAAGGAAGACGCAGCGGAGAGTGCGAGAGGAGAGCTTGCTTGCTTTGGCATTGCGAACAAGGGAGAGCGCGCCCCAGACCCGAAACAGCGACGCATCGCCAACCTTCCCCGTCCACTGGAGTGTGGGCGAGGTCTCTGGCTCAGAGACATGGGGCCAGAGGTTGAGCTGATGTGCAGCGTATCGGACCGCAAACGGCCACAGAAAATGGGGAGCAGCCGCATGGATCATGGAGGTACGAGCAACCTCCATGATCAAGCCAATGCGACGCTCAGCAATCCCATTTTGCTGAGGAGAGTCCGGAAGCGTGAACGACTGGTGGATGCCCCCGTCTCGACAAAACTCCACAAGGAGGTCAGAAAAGAACTCACCGCCACTGTCCGAGTGCAGACGCAGGACTAGGAAGTCCCGACTGAACCGCTCGTGCAGCTGGTGACGAGTAGCACGGATCCAGGGGATCAAAACACTGCTGACGTCCACCGTGCGCCGCAAAGGGAAGACACTGGTGTAACGTGTGTAGTCGTCAACAACCAGCAGGAAGTAGTGCTCCTGGTCCGTTCGACTGACGGGGGCCGGGCCCCAAACGTCCATGTGGAGAGTCTGTAGAGGAGCAGTGGTCGGAGAGGAATGAGGAGCAGCGCGCTGCCGCCCCTCGACGCAGGGAAGGCACAGCGTGGCAGGCAAGCGTGGGAGGGAGGGCAGGGACCTGGGAAGGCTAGAGACAAGGAGACGGGAGTGTATGCTGCGGAGACGCGGCAGGGAGGGGTGACCGAGGCGGTGGTGCCAGAGAAGAGTCTGGTGGGAGAGTACCCGACACGAGCAAGACGCTACAAGGTGACCAGACGCAGACACCTGACTCGACGCAGCCACCTGACCGGCCTCAGCCACCTGCGCAGACGCAGTGGTCAGTGTGTACAGACTAGACCAAGGCCGTCGAGTGAACGTAGCCAGGTGACGGCCAGTCCGGGAGCACGTACAGATCGCCACACGCTGCCCTCCAGGAATAAAGGTACCAACCGAGACACCCTGAATGGCAATGTTGCTCACCAAGTTCGTCGAGAACGTGGGGAGGTGGAGACCTGACAGAGAACCGAAGGGGACTGCTGGACACGGGAGGACAATGGAGGCTCGTGCGACTACTGGGCCCCCAGTGGGGTCAGCCAGTGAGACTAGAACCGGTGCAGCAAGTGGTGTGAGTGTGGTGCAGTCACGAAAGAAGCAACGTGACGAGCCTGAGTTAAGTGTGAAAGTGTGCAAGGCCTCAGCTAAGGAAGGACCTGTGGCGGGAGACACATGAGCACCTAAAGCTGCAGCAGACTCACTAGCATCTGTAGCGGCAGCAGACTCACTAGCACCTAGTGCGGCAGCAGACTCACTAGCGCCTAGTGTGGCAGTAGACTCACTAGCACCTAGTGCGGCAGCAGTCTCACTAGCACCTAGTGCAGCAGCCTCGACAGAACCAGTGACACATCGCTAAGGAACCAACTCACTAAGCACCTGTGGGGAGAAGGTCTCCTGCTGACTCTGCTGCCGCCTCTGTGCAGTACGCAGAAAACCAAAGCCTCCACCACGTGGACGGGCTCGCTGAAGAACCCACTCGCGAAGTTGCTGAGGGGTGGGGTCGTCCGGGAGAGGTAGTGACCGCCACTGTCCACCCCTAGCCGCTGCAACTGCCGTGATAGTGGCCATGACAGGCAGTAACGGTCAGTAGTAGGTCCAGCACCTCCAGCACTGGCAGCACCTCCAGCAATCCCAGTCGCACCTCCAGCACCTCCAGCACCAGCAGCACTCCCAGCACTCCCAGCAGCACCTCCACCAACAGCAGCAGTAGCATGAGCAGGAGTAGCAGCAGTAGCAGCAGTAGTAGCAGCAGGGCGGTTCGGTGGGGCTGGTGATCGAGGCAGGGCAGTGCGGCTCAGGTTTGGCAGGGCGGCTCAAGCTGGGCGGCGCGGCTCGGCCGGGCTGGGCGGCGCGGCTGGGCAAGGCAGGGCGCGCCGCGGACTGCAGGGCAGGGCGCGTGGTGGACAGGCCAGCAGGGCGCGCACTGTGCAGGGCAGCAGGGCGCGACGCGCGGGCTGCAGTAGGGCGCGACGCGCGGGCTGCAGCAGGGCGCGATGCGTAGGGCAGCAGGGCGTGACGTGCGGAGCAGCAGAGCGCGGCGCGCGGGCTGCAGCAGGGCGCGACGCGCGGGGCAGTAGGGCGCGACGCGCTGGGCAGGGCAGCAGGGCGCGACGCGCTGGGCTGCAGGGTAGGGCAGTGCGGCTCGCGAGGTGCAGGGCAGGGCGACGCACGGGCCTAAGGGCAGGGCAGCGCGATGCACGGGCTGCAGGGCAGCTGGGCGCGGGCTGCAGGTCAGGGCGGCGCGCGCTGGGCAGGGCAGCAGGGCGCGACTCGCAAGCTGCAGCAGAGCGCGACGTGCGGGGGGCAGGCAGTGCGAGTAGCTGCAGGGCAGCGCGACACGGTGCGAGCAGGGCTGGACAGCGCAAGGGCGTTTTGGGCAGGAACAAGCGGAACTATCGGTGGGCCCTAAAAACTTAACAGGTTTCCTGCTCTGAATACCATGTCAGAATCTCTGTGCAGGAATGAATGAACTAAGAATGAGTTGGGTACAAGTACTAACCCTAAAGTGTTGTACCCCTTGTAGGCTAACCCACTATAGTCTAGAGAGAACACAAACATATAGTTTGACACGTTTAAGCATGTAACGAGGATGGATGTCCCATGGATAGATAAAATATCATCCCCACCATAGACAGAGCATTGCTGGAAAGTTGTTTTACCATATGGCATGGAGAAAATGCCTTACGTGGACAAAACGTGTCGGTGCTGGGATTCGACAGTCAGAACCACACAGACGGAACCACACAAATAGACCACACAGACACATCCATTAACAAAACCACACAGTCAGCTGAAGTGACAGTTGCCAAGGCTGTGCGTTTAAGCATGTAACGAGGATGGATGTCCCATGGATAGATAAAACATCATCCCCACCATAGACAGAGCATTGCTGGAAAGTTGTTTTACCAGATGGCATGCAGAAAATGCCTTATGTGGACAAAACGTGTGCTGGGATTCGACAGGCAGAACCACACAGACAGAACCACATATATAGAACCACACAGACACATCCATTAACAAAACCACACAGTTAGCTGAAGTGACAGTTGCCAAGGCTGTGCATTTAAACAGATAACATGCAGAAAATACCTTCCGTGGACAAGACTTGTCGGTGCTGGGATTCGAGCCCAGGTCTCCACGGCCACAACGTGGGATTCTAACCACTAAACTACACCGACTTGACATTGGTGATAGCAAGTTTTTATAGATTGTGGGAAACATTGAGCAGCTCACCAGCGACGACTAGGAATACATCTGCACATGATTAGATCCACAGCGCATCGCGTCGTTAGACACATGATCCTTAGGCGCGTGTTGAGCTTACATCCTCAGCTGTTTTAGATCGTCAATAGAACTCACTCTACACGAGTGGAACCTAGCAGCGGGGAGCAGGAAGGCCGAGGCGCGTGGCGGCCATGGACTGGGGCAACGTGACGGGCGAGGAGCTGCTCGACGCGCTGCGCGAGGTGGAGTGGTCCACGCCGCCTCGCCCGCTCGCGGAGTTCGTGCAGCGATTCTCCGCGCCCAAGAACGCCAGCAAGTGGCGCAGCCGCTTAAAGTGCAACGCGTACTAGTGAGTTTTGGCTAGTTTGTTTTGTCGTGGTCGGTTAGGTGTCTGAGCTTCTGGTTTGGCGAGTTTCGTTAGCCGTGCGACAATCGCTATGAGTTTTTCCGAGCGTCGCCCTGTGCTGGCGATCCTTGCTACGATCCGGTTTATGAAGGAGTACGCGAACTTTCGCGTGACATTCGAGTCGCCTCCAAATCTTCTTCTTCGCGTGATAGGGGGTCGTTCCATCTGTCTTTAACTGTGCCGTCACGGTCCGCATAATGGGCTCGAACGTCGCACTCATGCGGGATCAACGCCCCCATCGTGAAATGAGCCGATTTCTGAGGCGCCTCAGATATCGATTTTCACAATCATTCTCTGCGCGACCCGCGTGTGATGAGGCGATTTCTGAGTCGACTCAAAAATCATTCTCTGCGCGACCCGCTTTGAGTCGTCGCGTCGCGTCTCTTCTCCCGACACGCTAACGTGCCCATCCCTAATTTCTCTCTTTCCCTGATTTCCACTTTTCCCGCTTCCCTGTGTTGTCTTCGTGCGGGTGGCGCAGCTATCGCACCAACTACTACATCCTCGTCTGCTTCATCAACGGTACGCTCCGCCTGCGCTCGTCAGTGGATTCTATTCTTCTTCTTTTTCGCTGAAATTTCTGACTCAATTTCTCGCTGCTGCAGCTCTGCCCGCTTGCCCTTGGACATGGCATGGCCATTTGTAGATCCAGTGGATCATTGACGAATAAAGAGGTGTGCATTCGACCACCTGTCGTTACCGTTTGTTGTCCCATCCTCCCGTCCTCCCCTTCCCCACCTTCCCCCCTTCCCCCCCCCCCTCTCCACCTCCCCACTCCCGTCCGCACGGCCAGCCTGCTGTTTCGCCCGTAACCCTCTCGCGCTGTTCGCCGTGCTGTTCGCCGCCGTCTCCTTCGCCAGCCTCAACGACAGGTCAGTCGCGCTTGCTGCCACCCACGGCCGCGTGGCTAGACTCGCCTAGCATCCCCATTTCTGCTCCCCCCTCTCTCCGACCCCTTATCACCTCTCTCTCCCCACCATTTTCCCTGCCCTCCCATCTCCCTCTCCACTCGTTCCCATCCTCCCCCCCTCTCTTCCTCTCCCGTCCGCCTCTCCCTCCCACCCCTCCATCCTCCTCCCACTCTTCTTGCCGTGCTCTACCATTCTCCACCGTCGACAACCCCTTCCGCGCCTTGTTGGAGCTCTTTCCTTGGTTGGCCTCTCGCGTTCTCCATTCCCCTTCCGCCATCTCCCATCCCCTCTCCCCACTCTCCCTCGCCCATCTCCCCCCTTCACCTCTCCCCTTCACTTCAGCTTCGCGCTGTCACTCAGCGAGCGCCTGACCAGAGCCATCAGAAAGATCTCCCCGCCCCTGGCGGCCAAGCTGCGACCACCGCAACAGTAAGCCGCTCCCATCCCCATGTGCAGCGCTCCCCCATGTGCAGCGCTTCCCCATGTGCTCCTCGCCCCTGGCGGCCGCCATGGCCATCAGAAAGATCTCCCCGCCCCTTGCAGCCAAGCTGCGACCACCGCAACACTAAGTTTTTTTCTTAGGTTGATTTTGAGACTTCTCAAAATAAACAAAAAATATAAAATCGGCTAAGCTGCGACCACCGCAGCAGTAAGCCGCTCCCATGTGCTCCCCCATGTGCTCCCCCATGTGCGCCCCATCCCCATCTCCTCCCCCGACTCTTTCCCTGACTGCTCCCCCTTCTCCCCCATGTCCATCCCCACCCACTCCTGTTGGTCGCCATATTGCGTACCTTGCCCTTTTCTTGTTCGCAACGCTCACCTGGTGTGTGGGTGCAGGCGAGCGGGTGTGAGGGGGCGGCCGTTGAGAGGCGCCGTGCACATATGCGGGCAGGACAGACGAGTCGTGCTCTTCCTGCTGCTCTTCTGTACGTGCCGTGCCACGCCATGCCATGCCCTGCCAACCATGCCTTACCATGTCATGCTGTGCTGTTCCATGCAGTGCCATGCCATGCTGTGTGATGTTGTGGTATGTCATGCCATGACATGCCATACCATGCCATGCCATGCCATGCCATGCCATGTCTCTTACTCCTGCTGCCCCTTTGTATTTGGCCCGTATGCTTCACTGCTCCTGCTCACACTCTCACCCTCTCCTCTCTCACTCTCATCCTCTCCTCTCTCACTCTCACCCTCTCCTCACACAATCACCCTCTCCTCACACACTCACCCTCTCTTCACACTCTTCACCGACTTCTTTTTCCTCCCCGCATTCCTCCTACGCCCCACGTGCGTCATCCCCCCCACCTTACCCACCTATCATCACCATTTCACCTCCTCCCACTCCCCCACCTGCTGCTGCCTGCAGTGAGTGCATGGCTGAACTATGTCTCACGAGCCTATGTCACCTTTGCCATTGCCTTCACGTCAAGTGTTCTATGTGAGTCAACCCAGTACACAACTCCCAGGCACATCATCACCTGCAGGACTTTGTTCCGGGTTGCCCGAAGTGTGTCCGTGTTTGTTACTAAAATATCTAAGTCATTTTTCATGTGTCAACAGTGCCAGGTATATGAGTATCATCTTCATTCGTTTCCTTCGTACCAGAATTCATAATCAGGGAGTCTTTGTTGTAAATGTTTCTTCCATCCCCATGCGTCTTGTCTTTGTCACCCCATTTCCCATCCCACACCCACCCCTTCCACCTGTGCGCGCGCATGTTCCAGTGGTGGTGGTGCATGCCACCTTCAGGTCACCCAATCTTAAAGCCCGGCTAAACTCGTACAGAGAGGAGTTCAGGGCTGTGTGGCGGGGCTACAGTGATGCGCCTTGATACAAACACAACACTACAACACAACAATCTAATCGAAACACACTAGTGACATTGTTTGGTTCAAGAATCCAGCAATTAGTGTGTTAGCTTTCATCATTTTGACATGGACGTGACTAGAACAAGATTGGCTTATGCAGGCACCATCACAACTTAAACGATAAGGTGGACATGAAAACAAAGTACGGTTGCATCCAAGTAAATGATTTTTCCTACACATTATGTTGCTTCTATTAGTGAACCTGATTGGAGTGGTGAACGGCAACGGGGCCCCGTTTTCATGAGAACGAAAGGGTGAGTGAATCCTGTTGTGGGCGGTGCTGTGCTGCCACCGCTGATGCCGCTTGTGTCTTTTGAGACGCCTAAATATGGACTGTGAACGCCAACCGGGTCCCGCTTTTAGGAGAAGGTAAGGGTGAGTGATGTCTGCTGCGGGCTGTGCTGCCACACCTGATGGCACGTGTGTTGTGAGAGAGATGAGGATGCGGGGGGGATACAGAGGGGATATGGAGACGAGGAGACATGGTAGAAGAGACACGAGCGTGCAATGGGGAGGAGGGTTGCTGAAAGCAAGAGGCAGAGAGGAGAGGAGAGGCTGGTGGGAAGGTGGGGAAGAGCTTACCTTCACCCCTGCCAGCTCCAGCAGTTTCCTGGAAGCAGCGTATGCAAGGTCCTTGGGATTGCGAGTGGGTGGCTTGTCAGAGTAGAAAATGACCTCTTTGATCCCAGCCTGCATGCACATGCATGGCCATGCACACACACATGCATGGCATGCACACACATCAGAGAGCAACGCAGAGTGCAAGGCAGAGTGCAACGCAGAGTGCAAGGCAGAGTGCAACGCAGAGTAGAACGCAGAGTGCAACGCAGAGTGCAACGCAGAGTGCAAGGCAGAGTGCAAGGCAGAGTGCAACGCAGAGTGCAAGGCAGAGTGCAAGGCAGAGTGCAAGGCAGAGTGCAAGGCAGAGTGCAACTCAGAGTGCAAGGCAGAGTACAACGCAGAGTGCAACGCAGGGTGCAACGCAGAGTGCAACGCAGAGTGCAACGCAGAGTGCAACGCAGAGTAGAACGCAGAGTGCAACGCAGAGTGCAACGCAGAGTGCAACGCAGAGTGCAACGCAGAGTGCAAGGCAGAGTGCAAGGCAGAGTGCAACGCAGAGTGCAAGGCAGAGTGCAAGGCAGAGTACAACGCAGAGTGCAACGCAGAGTGCAACGCAGAGTGCAAGGCTGGGAGTTGCTGCTGTGACACCACCAGTGCTGCTGCAGCAGGGGGATGCAAGAGTGAAGAGAGAGAGGTGGCACATGGCAGTGCCGTTGACATGTCCGAAACACGGCAGGGAGGCGGGTGCGAAGAGCGCAGAGGGACAGGTGGCACATGGAGGGGAAGGGACAGACCTGGATGATCACTTTAGCGCAGTCGTTGCATGGGAACATGGTCACGTAGAGGCGCTGCCATGCCATGCACACACAGAAAGGAAAGGCGCACACAGAGGGGAATATCAGAAATGGCGAAAAACATCGCAAGTATAGTATAGTCCCCCTGCCGACACGGCACATGCCGGACTAGAAAGGGGGGAACCCCTGGTGGAGAGCAGCAGGAGCACCTGGGAGTCACTTTTGAGAATTCTTAAAAGTGACCCCCAACAGTGACCCCCAACAGTGACCCCCAACAGTGACCCCCAACAGTGACCCCCAACAGTGACCCCCAACAGTGACCCCCAGCAGCAACCCCCAACAGCGACTTCCCATTTCGCAAGAGAAATTTCTCCGCACCTGGTCGAGCGCGGAGGCATGGTTTCTGTTGAGCACCGCATTGACCTCCGCATGACACACATAGCTGGTGAGATGCATGGGGGATGGGGGGATGGGGCGATGGCGGGATGGAAGGATGGAGGGATGCGGGGGACAAAAGAGCAAGTGCATGGGAACAGGAAGCGGAGGCATGGTTTCTGTTGACCACTGCATTGACCTCCGCATGACACATAGCTGGTGAGATGCATGGGGGATGGTGGGATGGGCGATGGGGGATATGAGGGATGGGTGGATGGAGGGAAGGGCGGATGAGGGGGACGGATAAAGAGCAGTCGATGGGAACAGGGAGAGGCGTGCAGAGGGTAACACATGTTTGAACGAACCAAGGAAGTTACAAATACTGTGAGAGGCAGGAAGAAAGCACTCACGGGTACTTGGTTTCGAGCGGGTCGTTGTTTGCTGAGAGCTGCACGTGCAGGGGGAGAGAGAGACACACAGGCAGAGGGATGGAGATGAGAGATAGAGACAGGGGGAGGGAGAAAGGAGTGAGCCTGACCATATTTGTCCATGATAGAACGACAGCATGACATGAAGATGCCTGCCGTAATCGAGCCCATAGCCCATCGTGCCCCACCGCGCCCCACCTTGGCCCACCTTGGCCCATTATGCCCCACTGTGCCAAACTGTGCCCCACCTTGGCCCACCATGCCCCACTGCGCCCCACCTTGGCCCAGGGCAGAAGGTCGTCAGAAATGCCCCGGGGAAAGCCATTGTATCCGATGCCTGCCAGTGGGAAGGGAGAGCGACATGGAAATCACTTTTGAGAATTCTCAAACGTGAAAGCCGTTGTATCCGATGCCTGCCAGTGGGAGAGGAGAGCGTGAGCGGTGGGCGAGAGGGGCGAGTGAGCGAGGGGGTTGAGTTGAAGAGGGAGAGGAAAGACGAAACAGCAGAGAAGATTGGAAAGCGTGAAGACCGGAAGCGTGACGAGGCAGAGGAAAGACCGAAAGCGTGTCAGAGACCGGAATGGGAGGAGGTGGTGAGAAGCTGATGTGAGCGTGTGGTGTTGAAGTGAAGTGAGCGGTTCGTGTGAGTGGCGCTTTGCTCACCCACAATGACGTGGTCGCTGCCGACAATGCATGCTCCTACCTGCATGCACGCACGAACAATGCAGCCATGCACACATGCGCTGTGAGGCAGATGATTCATGCAGATACAGCTCACCAGCTTATTTATCTGGTTACATTAACCTGTCTGGTGTAATCACCTGTTTGTTAAAACCACCTGTCTGGTGTAATCACCTGCTCGTTTGTTGGAATCGCCTCTCTGTTAAAATCACCTGTGTGTTAAAAACACCTGTCTGTTGAATCCACCTGTCTGTTGAATTCACCTGTCTGTTGAATTCACCTGTCTGTTGGGGTCCTTGGATCGTTGAGCGGAGAGGAACGCCATAGCCATGAAGTAATCATCCCATGACAGAAACCTGCCATGCCATACCATGCCATGCCATGCCATGCCATGCCATGTCATGGCATGCCACGTGCCGTGCCATACCACGATTCAGGTGAGACAGGAAACACCACAGTTGAAATGTCGCGCATGCATGCCACATGCATGGACCATTGGCATCCACCACCACGCACCGCTTCGCACCTCCGCGCATCTCCATCGCCATCGCATTCACACAAATCTTAGTCAAAGCCTGGCCAGCGTGATTCCTGCCCGCTTACCCTTTCCTCTTCCTCGCATCATAGGGATCGTTCTTCCTCCGATGCTGCTTCCCCGTCCCTTCCTCCCCCAATCCTCCATCATTCCCCTCGCTCCCCTCCCCTTCCCCGCCTTCTCTCTCCGCCGCCCGTCCAACCTCCGCGCATCCTCCCGCCGTGGCGCAACGAGTGATCGCCATTCGCGGGGCAGCGTCTCTCATTCGCTGCTCTCCATTCATGTGCTGCTCTTCGCTGCTCTCTTTCGCGTTCCCATTCACGTGCTGCTCTTCGCTGCTCCCTTTCGTCTCTCCGTTCACGTGCTGCGCGTGTCCTCCCCCCTGCGCCTGGCTTCCCCCCTCCGCGTGGCATTCTTCCTGCGCGTGGCCTTTCCTCTGCGCGTGGTTTTCCCCCTTCCGCAACACTACCGGTTCCGCAACCGGCGTATCTCCGCCCTGCCCTCCGCCAACGACGCAGTCGGTCCGTTGGTTATCGCAGGCCGCGCCGGAATCACGGCAACGGCTGCACGGCGCTGGCCTATCAGCGCGCACCTGGGCGCGCCGCGCCGGCCTATCACCGCGCTCTTGCTCGCGCTCCTGCGCAGGCTGCGCGGACCTGGCGCAGCGACAGCAAGCCAGGTCAGGCGGAGAAAGGCTTGCGGAGGTGGCGGAGGCTCGGGAGACCGCGAAGCACGTGGCGGAAAATGCAGCGGCAGCAACGACGGCGGCTCCGACCACAGTTCCCGCGAGGGCGGCGAAGAGAAGGTCCGACGTGAGGGGCGCGGGAGACATGGGTATAAGTATTTACTGCAGGTACCGAAGAAGTAGCTATTCTAAATGGGTTGATAGCTTGATGGCTGGAGACTGATGAGTCTCTCGACTCTCCAAGAGTGATTGCTTTCAGAGCTGCTTGCTGTGATGGGTGCTTGTGGCGTGGCTGCGACCGATCTAAACGCTGTATTACCGATGGGATGTGAGTTAGGCATTTGCTCGAACGTTTGAATTCAAGAAATGTAACTGGCTGCTGACTGGCTGTTGCCTCGCACCTGCGAAATTTTTGGCCGCATGTAACTCGTTCGCAAAACTGTAACACGAATTTCCACTGTCCCTCTAGAAGTAATCTGCCCGGAGCAGGAGTGCAGATTCAGCAAGTCCCACTATTTTTATTCCATAAAAATTCACCTTGAAACCCGGCCACTAGGATTTCTCTTCGTAATATTCTAGGACATACATTAGAATCTCGAACGCACCTTCCCACCACAACACGTCTTTTAGAAAGCACAGGACTCGCAAGTGGCTTCGTGCCGCTACGCGCAACCCAATCCAACCCACCAGCAGCCATCGCCTCGTATCTTCTTCAACAACCGCCCGCCGCGCCCGCGCAATGTCGGCTGTCGACGCGGCGTGGCAGCGCCTCAAGGCCACCACCGCGCCCGCAGCCATGGCGGGAAGCAGGCTCTCCGCCTCCCGCAGCGCCGCTCCTCCCGCACTGCCGCGTGGTGATCCCGGCGGAAGCGCAATAGCCGCCGCTTTAGATGGAGCGGCAGGTTCCGCGGATCTTCCGGCGCAAGCGACGGCGGGAAATCCGGGCGAGACGGTGAATCTGCGAGACGCGCGCGTGGAGCTGATTCTGACGCAGCGGCTGCGGCAGCGCGGGGCTGCGCAGACAGCGAGCGGCGCCAGCGGCGGGAAGAAAGCCGTTCCTGTGAGTGACGCGCGCGAGGTTCAGTGCGGTGCTGCGATGTGTATTGCTTTGCTACCCCCACAGCAACATGCTGCCAGAATCAGTCAGATCAGGTGCATATGTGTCCCTCTCTCCGCCCCCTAACGCTTCTCACCTCCACGTCGTGCCTCCCACACCACACCCCCCCCCCTCTCCCCACCTTCTGCCTTCCCCCCCCCCCCCCATCCTTCAGTCGTGGGTGTGGGACCAGGGCTTGAAGCCCCTTACCGCTCCTCACCTCGTGTCTCCCACACCGTCACCCGCCCCTTCCCACCTTCTGCCTCCTCCCTCCCCCCCACCCTCCAGTCGTGGGTGTGGGACCTGGGTCTGAGGCCCCTCCCACGCTCTGCCGCCGGCGCCGATGGTGCAGGCAGCGACGTGCGGGAGGAGAGGAGCGGCGGAGAGGCGGCAGGGGGGGCGGAACGAGCATTGAGGAGTGCAGAGAGAGGGGGTCCGGGGGAGGGAGCGGGTGTGGGGGATGGTGGGGCGCGGGAGCGGGGGGATATGGAGGTGGACGGGGGCGGGGGGGGGAGGAGTGAGGAGGGGAACAAAGAGGGGGACGCGGCAAGGGAAAATGCCACTGCTGCAGCAGCAGGTGCAGAGCGGGCGGCGGCAGCAGCGGCGGCGTTGAGAGCAACACAGGCAGCAGCGGGTGGAGCGGTGGTGGACGACTCCAAAGTGCAGGTGCGCGCAGGGGGGCAGGGAGCTCAAGTGGCTTGGTCCTGGTGCTACTAGTGGCGATTTGCGAGCTCTTTCCGTTGAGCCTGTCCCTCACACCTCCCTCACACCTCGCTGGTTCCTCCCCATGAATTGTTTATTCAACTCTACTTGCTCTCCATCTTGTTGCTCCCCCTTTGCGCCCTGCGCCCGGGCCACGGGGCGTGCTACAGGTGCGGGAGGTGGTGGACTTTGCAGGCGAGGCGGTGGAGGTGGTGCGGGTGCTGGACGTGCGCTCTAAAGAGGCTGCTGCTGCCAAACGCAAGGCGGACATGCAGGTGAGTGAGAGGTGGACATGCAGGTGAGAGGCAAGAGCAAGTGTATGTTAGCAGCCTGCTGCTCGGCGCAAGGCAGATGAGCCCTCTCATTCCATCATAGTGGCCCTCCTTCACACATGCACTCAGGAGTGCTCTCCTTCTGCCGCTCCACACCCCATTTCCACGTGATCCCTCTTCCCTGCCCGGCCGCTCCCCTCCCTGCCCTCTCCCCCGTCCCCCGGCTGGCTGGCAGGCGTCCACATCAAAGGGGCTGGACGCCATTCTGGCGCAGATGGAGAAGAAGAAGAAGCTCAACATCCTTGACAAATCACGCAAGGTGAGCAAGCTGTGCAAGGTGCGTGCTGGGTCTCAGCGTTCTAAACATTATTAGAATCAAGGTGCATTCTGCATGCCAGACCACACCATTCCAAGGTTTCTCCAAGGGAAAGAGGGGTGGAGGGAAAGGGACAGGGTCGGACAGGAGGAAGAAGAATAGGCACTTGGGGGCGGTGGGGGTGAGTGCGAGGTGTTGAGCTGCTGAGGGATCTCTAACACTGATCACATGTGGTCACACTGACACGACACCGACTACCTGCCAGGATTGGAGTGAGGGAGTGAGTTCAAGGACGGGGCGGGCGTGGTGGAGGAGTTGGAGGAGCACTGCAGGAGCGGTAGCCTTCTCCCCTCTCACTCCTCTCACTCCTTTCCCAACTTCCTCTCGTCCCTCGTCGCCCCTTGCTGCCAGGACTGGAGCGAGTACAAGGAGGGCACGGGTGTGGTGGAGGAGCTGGCGGAGTATAGGAGGAGCGGCGCCACGTACACGGAGAAGAGGGCGTTTCTGGGGCAGGCAGACCTGCGCGAGTACGAGCGCGAGCGCGATGCCAAGCTGGCTGCACAGGCCCGGAGAGCACGGCCAGGGGGAGTGGAGTGAGTGGGTGGAGATGGGTGGAGTGTGGCGTTGGATGAGGTGAGGGCGAAGGCAGGAGTGATGCCTGGCTGATGGGCTGTGTGGCGATGGTGCCTCTGAGTGGCAACGTGGTACCACATAGAAGTGGGACCGTAGTTACCTGCTCTCGGATGTGCCCCACGTCCACGAGGTAGAGTAGAGTCCAAAGGTGTTTTGTTTCATGGCAAAAGCTTCAGAAGTTCAGATTGAGGCAATCTTATGGACATTAGAAGGGGATTTAAACAGGCTGACAAGCCTGAGGGTCCTCTAGATATAGAATCTATGCCCTGTGATACATTGTGCTACCGTAACTTGCAAGGGCCTTTTATTGGAGGCACTGAGGCAGTGCCTCTGTCAGTAGGGCTGCTCACCCTCACCTTATGGTATTTGGATTCCCCAGTACTAACTACCCCTCTACTGGAACACTATCCCTTCCTCCACTTGTGCTCTTCTCCTGCTGGGTCTCTCTTCCACCCTCACCTCCCCGCTTGCACCACCACACACACTGCACTACACCTGCTGCCTTCCGCCTCCCTGCATCACACCTTTCCGAAGAATCCCTCCCGTCGCTTGGCGCTGCGATACGCACAGCATCCAACAATATACACAACGAGCAGCAGCAGCGACACGCCCAGGCACACAAACGCCACCATGCGCCACTGGTCGCGCAGCGTCTTGAGGAAGGCCGCCTTGCACGTCTCGCACCCGTAGCACAGCTTCGTGGGCTCGCTGCCGTACACCAGGCAGTCGCCCGTGGCACTGCCGGTTGAAATCGTCGAGTTGACTGCGGAAGCGAGGGCGGCGGCGGCGGCTGCGGCGGCATCAGTGGTGTTGGCCGGGAGGGCTGCGCGCGAGGTGGCGGAGAGGGGTGCGGAGGGGCAGGACTGGGGGGGGTAGCAGCAACCGGCCTGGGAGGAGGGTGGGTGTGGGAGGTCGGGTGGAAGATCAATAGAAGAGAAACAAACGAGTGAGGCCTCGACTCGTGGTGTGGGTTCTAAGAAAAAGACTGACCCGTGACCACGCATGGACCGACTAAGACGGCAACGTTGAGCTGAATGTGCGCGGCTTGTGCTGGCACCTTAATCAGAACGGCTTATGCTACGGTACCTGAATGGAGGAGAGTGTGGACGACGCGGTCGTGTTGGTCTGGCTGAGCACGCTGCACGTGTTACCCGCCGCGAGGCACGCCTGGATGGGCGCCCACTTGGATTGCTCCGTGACTTGATTCTGCAGCCACGTGGAAAAGTCCGTCGTTTTCCATGACCCCACGCCCTTGTTCGACACCGCGTCCGCCACCGTTTGATTCGTCACGATGAACGCGAACACTGCCGCGTAACAACGGGTGGGGCAGGGTGAGGGAGGTTGAGGGAAGCTGTATGTGACGTGGCTCTCGTCTACAAATGAATGGGCGGCGTGCCTAACGGAGGTCGCGAAGTTGAATTGAAACGAGTAAAACGGGAAGTGGGCAAAAAGCTTGGTATTGGGGACGTACCTGTGAATCCAAGGAGCACCCATATAGCGATGAAGACTACAGCGAGGTAGATGAAGAGCAGCCATGCGATGTCGTTGACGGCGCCGATGAACCCGGCGAGAGCCACGGCGCAGAGCACGCTGCCGACGATGATCAGCGGGATGCGAAGGAACTGCACGCATTCCGTCGCGCCGGCTCTGCGACTCGACGGGGGAAAGGGAAGAATCGAAAGGGTAGACGAATAAACAGTCTATGATAGAAGGTTCTAGACTGGAAGAACTTCCGATATTTTGAATTCATAAGAACTCTGATATGTATGCGTCCAGATCCTTTTTAAGCATCCGACTATCCATGAAAACTTACCGGGTGGTCATCCACACCCCTGTGCCGATGAGGACTATCGACAACAAAACGACTAGCGCCGTCGTTATCGCCGTCAGCGTCTTCGCGAGAGCCATCGATCAGTAAGGACCAAAACTGTTGGGGTGGTTGGAAACTGGAAGCTATTACCGACTCAGAGAAATTGAAATGAAGTCCCGGGAACTGGAGCGTGCCAGGCGAGGAAAGTGGAGCTTGAGGATATCCGATGCAGCAAGGGATGTTGAGTGCACGAGATTGAACCTTTCCAGCTCGATAATCGTACGACGGAATTGAGAGTTTGGGTGTCGTATTTATAGATATCCGGGACACGACGGGTTCCGCGGCAAGAACGGAGCGAGGAAGGCCAACAAAAGGCAGCGAGGACACGGCAAGAACGAACTGATGGAGCAAGATGCTTTGAAGGTGATGATGAGGTGGGCGATGTTGTGGCAGCGAGTTGAAGTGCTTTCAAGGCCGCTGTCAATCCTTGATCTATGCGCGCTGCGAGATGCACCAAAAAGGCGCTCGCAATTATTTGAGGAGTGCGGGGTAACCGGGTTGAGGTTTCATTGTCGCCTGTGCCACGCGAAGAGTTCGCGAGGCGTGTCACGTGTGCGACAATGAATTCGTCGGCTGTCGTGTCGTGCAAGGAAACATACATCAATAATTGTGAAGCTAAAGTCCTTGCAGTGTGCACTGCACTGGGAATATGAGTCCACATGGCTCGCCGGTGGAATTGCCTCACCATAAGCCTTTGCCCACCATAAAAACTTAAGATAAAAACACTCTGAATTTGACATGAGTCATGTGTGCTTATTTCCAACCTCAACGTTCCCTCCCACTCGAGCACACACCTCTCAACCCACTTCTTAGACTCTCGCCTCACCCAGCCCAGCCCCACCCACTCCCTCGCTCCTTAAGGAGCAAAAAGAGGCATGGTCGTGTGGTTGATCACAGACGAATGCCCCTATTGTCTACTCCCCAAACTCAGAAGCTCGGTCGGACTATGTTAGTGCTGAACCGTGTTGGGCTGAGAAAAGCCCTTAGGATCGTTTTCAATACTAAATTATCAGAGTAGTGATGTATTAGCAGAAGCGTAATAGTGAACTGATTGAACCACCTTGCACTGGTATGCGAGAACAAGATACCGTCATACCCCGGATATACTGTCAAACTTATATCTGCTATGGTCTATTTAGGCTGTAGTGGGGTAGCTCTTAGTGGGTACAACACTTATGTGTTTCCTATATGTACCCATCTCATTTCTAGTTCATTCATTCTTTCGTCTATCATTCTCACATGGTATAGAGCTAGTTTCGAGATTTTTTAAAAAGGGCCCACCACTGAAATTTCTCCCCTGCCTACTTGCCGCGCGCTTCGCGCCTTCCCTTCGAGGCCCGTCACGGCCCCTGCGCCCGCCCTTAGAGCCTGCGCCCGCCCCGTAAGGCCCCTTAAGGCCTCGTTAGGCCCCGTAAGGCCCCTTTAGGCCCCGTTTAGGGCGCGGTTTAAGGCCCCGTAAGGCCCCGTTATGCCCCGTAAGGCCCCGTAAGGCCCCGTCAGGCCCCGTTCGGCCCCGTTTAAGGCCCCGTTAGGCCCCGACAGGCCCCGTTAGAGGCCCCGTACGGCCCCGTCAGGCCCCGTTAGAGGCCCCGTACGGCCTCGTCAGGCCCCATTTGGCCCCGTTTAAGGCCCCGTAAGGCCCGTCAGGCCCCGTTAGAGGCCCCGTCAGGCTCCTTCAGGCCCAGTTAGAGGCCCCGTCAGGCCCCGTTATAGGCCCCGCACGGCCCCGTTATCGGCCCCGTACGGCCCCGTTATAGGCCCCGTCAGGCCCTGTTATAGGCCCCGCACGGCCCCGTTATAGGCCCCGTACGGCCCCATTATAGGCCCCGTCAGGCCCCGTTATAGGTCCCGTTCGGCCCAGTCAGGCCCCGTTAGAGGCCCCTTCAGGCCCAGCCGGCCCTGCTGCGGCCCTGTCGCAGCTCTTCCCCGACACTGCCCCGGCCCTGCTCCTGAACTGCCCCGGCCCTGCTTCTGCACTGCCCCGGCCCTGGCCCGGCTCTGCCCAAGCCCTGCCCCGGCCCTGCCCCGGCTCTGCCCCGGCCCTGCCCCTGAACTACCCCGGCCCTGCTTCTGCACTGCCCCGGCCCTGCTCCTGAACTGCCCCGGCTCTGCCCCGGCCCTGCCCCGGCCCTGCCCCAGCCCTGCCCCTGAACTGCCCCGGCCCTGGCCCGGCTCTGCCCTGGCCCTGCCCCGGCCCTGCTCCTGAACTGCCCCGGGCCTGCCCGGCCCTGCTCCTGAACTGCCCCGGCCCTGCCCCGGCCCTGCTCCTGAACTGCCCCGGCCCTGCCCCGGCCCTGCTCCTGAACTGCCCCGGCCCTGCTCCTGAACTGCCCCGGCCCTGCCCCGGCCCTGCTCCTGAACTGCCTCGGCCCTACCCCGGCCCTGCCCCAGCCTCTCCCCTGGTAAGAGCGCCGCGCTGCCGAGCCACACCGCCCTGCCGAGCTGCGCCGCCCTACCTAGCCTGCTTAGCCGAGTTCCACTGCTGCTACTGCTAGCCTGCTGCTTCTCCTGTCATGGCTAGTCTCAATGTTCTTACCTTTGATGCTGAGGGTCGGGCTGTTGACTTTGAGGTCTGGCTAGATGATCTGCAGCTTTTCCTACAGTGCGATAGCAAGGATGGTCTCTCACTGTTCGATCTCACTTCTGGCGCCTCTACTGCCCCTACTGCTGATGCTGACAGTACTGTTCGCTCGCAGTGGCTCACGCGCGATGCTGCTGCTCGTCTTGCTGTGCGCAATCACCTGCCGTCTACTGAGCGCGCGCACTTTAGTCAGTACAAGAGTGCTAGGGCTCTGTACGACGCTGTAGTTGCACGCTACTCCTCCCCTGCCACTGCTGCCCTCAGCCGCCTCATGCTACCGTACCTCTTTCCTGACCTTGCCGCCTTTGCCACAGTTGCTGACCTAGTTGCTCACCTCCGCACTAGTGACGCTCGCTACCGCGCTGCCCTTCCCACTGCGTTTCTTCCCACGAACTCCCCCCCCATGTACATCACCCTTTACTACCTAGTCACCCGCCTCCTTGACTCTCTCTCCTCAGCCAGGGATCACTTTCTCTCCCTTTGCCCTACCGAGCTGACTGTCGACTTGCTAGA